TTCCACCATCCAGTTCTGGTCAGATGTAGAGGTGCAGAGACAAAGGATGACCTTGGCTTTCTAGAAAAGAATTTTTTTATGGCTACGTATCATCCAACTCCGTACAATTCCCCCCCTCCCATTTTCCCACAATAGAAAATGCATAGTAGAATAATAGAAAGTGTGGCGGGCCAAAGATCCAAAAGAAAAGATGGCTGCAGGCCTGACATAGCCTGGCCTTTCCTACCAGATGCCTTTGAATTGTGTCATTCTGTAACCTGGAAGACACCAAGGGAAGGAAGACTTGCATAAGGGTTGCCATTCTTTTATTGTTGTTGTTTACATTGTTTTGCAGACATTGTGTTGAATTTTCGCACCACATTTGTCAGCAAATCGGGGCAGGTGGTCTTCGATCCTCATGCTATATTCCTACACTACCTGACCCGCTGGTTCGTGCTGGACCTCTTAGCAGCATTACCCTTCGACCTTCTCTATGCCTTCAAGGTCAATGTGGTGAGTTGGGCTCAGAACCTCCCTGATGGGGCACTATCACAACATTCCCCCTCAACCCCAGAGGGTGCTTTGTAGGCATATCTGGTCTTTTCTTTTCCTCCAGTACTTTGGGGCACACCTGCTGAAGACGGTGAGGCTGTTGCGGTTACTACGGCTGCTGCCCAACCTGGATCGGTACTCCCAGTACAGCGCCGTGGTGCTTACCCTGCTCATGACTGTCTTTGCCCTTCTGGCTCACTGGGTCGCCTGCGTCTGGTACTTCATTGGCCAGCGGGAAGTGGAGAGCAGCCCCTCCCAGTTGCCCGGGATAGGTGCGTGCCGGGGTTTAACTTCCTTGGTGTGGGACTCGGGGGGTGTGTGTCAACTGACAGGGGTGGGTGTGTTATTTTCTTCTCCCAGATTAGAGTAGGACCTCCTCAGATCTCTGCATGTTGCAACTGTGTGGAAGATGCACTTTAAGGCCAAGTAGAAGCAGGAAGGCATGTATGAATGGCTGTGGCCACCTCCAGCCAAGTGCAGAAATAAGCCGCAGAGTCTCTCTCGTGTTGAGGACCATGAGCTCTTTCATAATTACCATTCTCCAGCAGACTCTAGGGACCGCATGGCGACAAATTAACAAGTAACTGCCACATTGGCTTTGAGATAGAGCTGCCAAATCCCATGGGGAGTGTGGAGAGAAAGAGAGAGACTCAGTGCTCAAGGGTGATATATCTGTTGCAACTCGGTGAAGCAGGATTTTTTCTTCCCTTTTCTTTTTTAAATGAGGAGAGCTGGGAGAATCTCCAGGCTCCCTGGATTTATCTTTGGTTTAGAGATGGATCTCTTTCCTCCATGCTTTCAAATTACATTCCTCCTTTGATATGGTGCCTTGGCTTTCAACTGCGATGGTACAAAGTCCTGATTTGCCCCATTCCCTTTGGGCACACTGGGTGAAATGATGGGAACTGACATCCAACACACATCCAGATCAGTGGTGGGTTGCAGGCGGTACGCCCCGGTACCCACGTACCGGTGCCTGCCGGAAGCAGCAGCCACCGTACCAGAACAGTACTTTGGAGGGCCCGCCTGCCCTCGTTCCTTACCTGGATTTGAAGGAAACGGGCCATCTGCACACGCACACCCAATGTATGGCACCTGCGCGATGCTCCACCGAGCAGCTGGAGCATTGCAGGCGGTGGGTGCACATGCACACGCAGCACGCGTGCCCGTGTTGCATGCCCGGCTCCTGTTACAGCATACCAGTTGCAACAGGAGCTGAAACCCACTACTGATCCAGGGTTGTAGCAGACGGTCACAACTGGAAGCGGAGGTCAGGAGCCTGTTTTGCTGGCAGAGTGCTGAAACCTGCTAGGTCAAAAACGGGGGGTGGCTGGTGCTGAGAAAGAAAGAGAGAGAGAGAGAAAGAAAGAAAGAAAGAGAGAGAGAGAGAAAGGGAAGGAGGGAAAAAGGAGCGAAAGGAAGGACTACAAAACTGCACTAGATGTAGCTTTAGAGGATAATCCAGGGCTGGAAGGGACCTGGTGGGCATCTAGTCCAACCCTGCTCCAGCAGGACATTGTTAAAGTGAGTTTCTGTCTTTTGACCCCCCAGTTACATGACTACATAGTCACATGACCCCCCCCACCAAGCCATGCCCCCAAGCCACGCCCACAGAACCGGTAGTAAAAAAAAAAAAAGATTTCACCACTGGCTGATCCTCATCCATCCCGGGCAGTATGATCAGTGGGAAAGATGTCAGGAATTATGGTCCAACAATGCCTGGAAGACTAATAGGTTGTGTACCCCATTTTGTTTTAGTACAGTCCTGTTAAAAGAGATTCAATGCCTGCATGTCCTGGTTGTTCAAAGCTCTCTGATGGACCAATGTTGGAACTTCTATCTCCTGGCCTACAAGGCTTTACTATTGAGGTTCTTCTGCAGGACACTGGACCAGAAGAGGCCGTGTCTGCAGCTGGCATGTTTTTGGGAAAGGAACCCCATCTATAAGGGTGAAGGAATAGTATTCAGGAGAAGGAGCTTAAGGTGGGTATTCTTCTAGCTTGGCTTCCTTCTTCCCCATCCTTGCAGGTTGGCTGCAGGAGCTGGCTCGACGCCTGGAGACTCCCTATTACCTGGCTCAGAGGAACAGCAGTGGTGAAGAAGAACCTACCAACCAGACTTCCTCCCTGAACGGCACAACTTGGGAACTCTTAGGGGGACCCTCCTTGCGCAGTGCTTATATTACCTCCCTATACTTTGCCCTCAGCAGCCTGACCAGCGTGGGCTTTGGCAACGTATCGGCAAATACTGACTCAGAGAAGATTTTCTCCATCTGCACCATGCTGGTGGGGGGTGAGTTGGGCTCTACCCCTTGGTGGGATATCAAGGAGAACCCATAAGACCTCCCAAGCATCTTTCCTCCTCCTCCTCCTCCTCCTCCTCCTCCTCCCAGCTTCTAACTCAGGTTCTTGGGCAATCTAGT